GTTACCACGCCCTCCTTCGGCCTCTATAACAAACACAGCTCGGGCGCTCCCATGGCAGCCCGAAGTCGGCCTGACACGTAGGCTGCCCGTTTCCATGTATAAACACTTCCTCGTCGCCCATAATGAAGCAGCAAGTTCCGACTTCAATCACAAACATCCAAAAGCATCTCATTTTCAATAACATCGCGGTCTTCAACATTACAATTTGAGGCTTTCTTGACTACCAGAAACCAGAAACAAAAGCTGCTTGGGCGCTTGGATGTTGTTGTCTTTCGTCCTGCTCTTGGTGTTCAGGTCCTATATAGTACAGTGGGTGACTTCGTACCGCAAGCCGTCTGTGCGAATGCAGCTAATGAATACTCAGGAGACCTCCGTTGAGCGTCATCGAGGTTGTCAGACCGCTGGTCATCTAGGCAATAATTGTTAACGCTAAATATATTAACTTCAACTACGCTGGGCTATTCGCTTCCATCTGGATTGCCTCCGGACTGAGTATTCTTGCTATTTACGATGCATAAAAGGGTTTCGCAGTTGAGAAGGAGAAGCTGAAGGACGAAGAGAATACCCAGAGGGTCCGAGGCTCGTCGGCTGGGCGGGCACCTTAGGAGACGTAGTTGTGACCCATCCGTTGAGTACGAGAGTGAGGCAGCTAGCGATAATGGAAGTCTTAGGAAGAAAAATCATATTACGGCACCAAAAGCAAACTTAGATAGATGTTGGGGGGTACTTCGTGCCTTAAAGGAAGACTGCGTTAGGTTTCGTTCGGACCTGTCTCGGCTGGCTTCCGTTCTCTGCCGAGGTTCATAATTGGCTTGGAATTTCGATCCTACATAACAGTATACGCAGTAAATGTTTCTGATCCCTGTGTTGAGACCTAAGACCAAAATGAGAGCCCGTGATCACCTTAGGTGAGGTTGGCCCATCGGGTTGGCATCGGCATCGCGGCCGACACGGGTCGCTCAAGTAAAAATATGTAAACATCGTCTCGTGGCACGCGCTGTCGTCTCGCTCCAGCATTCGAGACATCAATTACTGACGTAGATGCTATCTTATGCTTCTTAATCTCGAGTACATTTTTGTCTCCCCCTCTAGCCTGTTGGGAGTTGCACCGAGCCCTCAAGTCTAACAACCGAACCCCCATCCTTCGGCTCTTCAGTCCAGCTCCACCATGCACCTCATTGCCACAATACGAACGAAGCATCATGGCAGAGAGTGAGTCCTGGACTATATATACCCTCGTGAAAACATATTCAATGTTGCCTAAATATCAATCAGCCCCGGATCGCGACAGGATTGCAGGCCTCGGCTGAGAATCAATGATTGACCTACACGCTAGCATGTATTTCGTCACCGCAAAGAACAATGCCATTCGTTTGAAAACAGTCGCGTGCTGACAGTCACTTGTACCTTGTTCAGACTGTCCCTGTCAATGGGTACCCCTCCCCCACTTGCGGCATCTGAAGAGACCCATGATGTAGCCCGCTGCAATATTGGTGCTAAATATTGTGGGCATAACCAAAAGGATAACTGACGCAGGGTCATGAATGCAAATGGTAGAAAATCCGGTGCTTATTAGGGTCTTAATGAAGGGTGTTTCGGGTGTGCAGGTTCAGCAAGTGCATGGTTCGAGAATGAACTGTAAGCTTCATTGCATCATCAACACAACGTATAGGAATTACAATCTTCATCAATATCGTGACAACACATGGTAATCGTAGAAAAAAAAAAGAATGGACATCCCGCAGCACAAGGCACAGGAAACAGATTCATACAAAAGCCCCGACCCTCATCTCAACCTCCCCCCTCAGTCATCCACAATCTCATCTGAAGAGGACGAAGAAGACCCCGAACTAGAAGCCCGATTCGTCGCGGCGTCATCGTACCACGGCATAGTCCCCGAGTCAGTGTTGAACTCGGTGTCCGTGGCATAAGTCCACTGCGCCACGATCCGGCCGAGGTTGTTCCACGTCTGCTCGTCCATGTCCTTCTCCCGCGTCGGCTCCGGTCCGCCAAAGTCCAGCTCGAAGCCGAGCTTCCACTCCTCAAGCTCTCGGTCGGTAGTGTTCGTGGACCCGGCCATCCAGCTCAGCACGGAGGACGGTGCACGCGGGCCGTAGCGACGACGGACGGGGGCGGGGCCGACGTTGATGACTCTGGGAGCCCTTGGCCATCTCGGGGCTGGTGGCGGCATGCAACCGCCGCCGCCGGGCCGCGGGAAGCCTGGAGGAATACTACCCATGTGTGGTGCTCGAAAGCCCGGGGGCGGGGGATACATGCCCGGCGGAGGCGGGGGCGGCCCCATGTACGGCTCTGCCCAGGTCTTGGAGTCCGGACCAACTGAGCTGTCTGCGAAGGGCGAGAGGCGCATCGTGAGGACGGCGCCTGGCTTCACGGTGTTCTCCCAGGCTGCCGGGGTGACGACGACGTCGTCTTCGTTGACGATCTCGAAGGCGCCCTGGCTGATCATCGGCCACATTCTGTTGATGTCGCGGAAGCGGCCGTGGATAATGTTACGAGCTCCCTTTGAGATGTTAGTATATTTGCTTTCAAATAAAGGGTGGTAGAGTTTACCTTCAGAGTTCGGCACTGCTCATATGGCATGACGATGGTACGGCCAATGGAGTCAGTCAGGTGAATAGGCTCCAGAGCGGGCTCCATCGACATGTACGCGACGATGAACTCGGGCATGCCTCGGGTGTCGACGGCGATCAAGTTCCTGACGCGTCCGTCCTTGTTCTGCGCGCGCTGGGGGGCATTCTGAACAGCGAGACGGAACTGGGCGTCAAGACCGATCAGCTGGTCTCCGGGAGTGTCTCCGACCTTTCGGAGAACGCGCTTCAGCTGGCGGAGTAGAGTCTTCGGCTCGAAGGCCAACACTGGCGGCTTCTTCTTGCTATGGAGCTGATACCCACCATGGATGATGCTTGCTTCCAGCTCCAAGTGGTCCAGGGGCGGGAGACCGCGACCAAAGAGGCCGCGCATCCACTCAGCCATGCTGTTGAAGACCTTGGCTGGGAAGCGGCGCTTGGGCGTCATAAGCTTGATGTCGATGGGCTCGGGAGGTGGCGGTGGTGGGTAATCCATGACTGGAGGAGGCGGGGGAGGCTCAATGAAGGCAGGAGGCGGAGGAGGAGGAGGCGCAAAGGATTCCTCAACAGGAGCAGTCTTCTTCTCTCCGTCGACCTTGTCGCCGCAGATTGAAGGCGCCCTGGAGACCTGGGCAGTCTCTCCAGACTTCCACGATGCGACGTCATCACCAGAGCAGACGCTTGCGGCCTCAGCCTCTGCAGCAGCCTCGGCTGCCTTGGCAGCTTTGTAGGCTGCTCGAGCTTCGCGCTTGGCCTGCTCGTCCGCCTTCTTCTCGTAGTCCTCTACGAGAGTCTTGACGTTCTTGTTCCTCTGCTGAAGCAGACGGCTGGCCAATGCCCTTGAAGCGAGCTCCTCATCGAAGCTACCTGGGGCTCTGGGGGCTCTGCGTCTATGTTAGCAGTGTCATTCGAAGATGCTAAGAGGGAATACTGACTTGATCTGGAGACGGGCAACGTCAAAGACCTGCATGTGCAACAGAAGGCTCGCGAAGAGCCACTGCAACTGCTTCGCAGCAGTCTCGAAGGCGTCCTCGACCAAACTCCAGTTCATGTTGGCGTTGATAGCGCAGAGCCTGGCAGCCTTCAAGTCCTCGACGCGGATCGTCTCAAAGTTGACGTCCTCGACGACTTTGGCGGCCAAGCTGGCCCGGTAGACGCTGCGGATGATGGTCACATAAGTCCTACCGCAGCGGACCGCGAGATCTTCAACGTCTCTACGGCCGGCGTCTTTGTAGACGGAAAACGTATCATGTTTGTCAGTGCTGAGATGTTCCCAGAGCTGAGCGAGGGTTGACGCCGTGCCGAAGATATCATCGACAAGGTATCGAACGTCTGTGTCTGGGGACTTGGTACCCAGGCCGTATATGTTCAGCTTGTTGGCCAGCTGGAACCCGAGGTTCACGATGCCCGGCACATTGAGGGAGGGCGCCACGCCGCTGGGGAGCTCGGCCATGGTGAGTGGCTTGACGGAGGAGGGAGGGTTGGGTAGAGAAGAGCGGTAGACCTCAGACTCTTGCACTTGACATCACGACCTGACGCGGGGTATTTAATCTTGTAGAGAGAGAAGGAAGGAGATATGGCAAGCCTCATTTTGCCCATTGGGCTGGCAGCTGCATGATTAGGTGTTTCTCGCTGGTTGGAGTAGGACGTCGGCCAATAAGCCGCAAAGAATGGTATGACTTGCTCTCACCAGCATCATTGTGGTTCAGGAAAATCACTAGACCTAGGGTTAGCTGCAGCCAAATTGCAACGGCTTGCTGTGAAGCTGATTGCTGTGTCTGTGTCATGTTGAGGCCAATGTAATTGCTCGGTTCCGCCCGTCTGGATCGTGTGACCCCACGGCGAGCATCAAGATCTCACCCGCTTGAGGTGGTAACGAGGCTTCGGCCGGCGGAGATCACTCAGCAAGAGTCTTGTCTCGGACATCGCGGCACCATCTGCAGAGCAGCGATGGAGATTTCAGCCTCAATGAGCTCATTGTCGAGGCAGGCTGCAGGCAGGTTCCAGGCATCCGCAGCAGGCTACGATGAGCCTGAGTCAAAATCACTTGAGTTTGCTGATGCTTGTGCTCATGGAGATATGAAGCGGGAGTCCGCCTTGAAATGTGCCTAGGGGAGGGTGACATGCATGCAGCGGGACGTGGACACTGCTTGGACCATTAACGAAGTACTGTGCATGAATCACGTGATTGACTACGGCATCCCCTTTCGATGCGGGGCCAACGCGGGGCAACCACGCTCCTCTCATGCGTCTCTGTCTCACACTCTCACAACACCATCAGCAGGCTCTGACGGCAGGGCGTCGACACGCATCAACGCATCGCATGCAACTTCCCGTCCTGAGAGGCAGATACGAATGACTATTCTGGAGCAACCGGAGCACGAGTGGTTCTCAGTTACGCAAAAGCATGCTTCATCGCATGCAGGCCGACAGCATCGACGCGACGATAGGTCTCAGAGTTACAGCAGCCATCATCTGGGCCTCATGCCACGTTCGCCTTTGAGATCTTGAAGCCACCGGGCACTCTTCTTTGGAAAACCCCGCTGGATCGTACTTTTCTGCAGCCTCGCGCATCTTGCGGACGTTCTCTTCGCCGTAACTGCCCAGCGGGTCTTGCGAGGCGTCGCAGTAGTTCAGGTAGCGGAACTTGACATCGCCGTTGAGTGACTTGGCGTAAGCCTCGATTTCGTCAATGGCTCCCTTGAGGGCCGGGAACGCGACAGTCGTCCGCATTTCCGGCGTTGGCACTTCCACAGTCCATACCAGCAGCACGCAGTCATCCTTGATGTGCTCGAGTCCGAACATGTTGCCCCCACGAACCGCCGAGTGTTTGCCGAATGATACGGGAAGCGGCTGCAGAACCATCTGGAAAGCGAAGTCGTGGTCTGGGACTTGGCCCTTCATCATCTTGACGAGGCTCTCAAAGACGTCAGCCGCCTTTTGACTGATTCGCGGGTCGTTCTTGAAGGTTGTGGTGAACCAAGTATGCCTGACGTGCCAGTTTAATCAACCATTCAGAAAGAATGAGGGTAAACTTACTCTCTAGCTTTTGGCAACGCGAATGTATCCATCTTGGTCGCAATCGTGGTCGTCTTGGACTTGACCTGCCCAGGTATAGCCAAAAACTTACTCAAGGATTTGGCCTCCTGCTCGCCGTCCAGGCTCATCAATAGGTTCTCGATGAAGTGGTCATCGGCCTTTGGCAGGTACATCCACATTGCCAGGACATGAGCATCCGGGTGAGCCTCGAGGTTGCCAACAAAGTCGGTCAGCGCGTGAACGACTTCTGGGGCCGACTCTTTGGCATGTACAAGCTCCGCATCCCAGATGTCCTTTGAGGGGAACCTCACCATGTCGAAGCCAGTTACGATCCCAAAGTTGTTGCCGCCGCCTTTGAGGACTCTGAAGAGGTCAGAGTGCTCCTGATCGTTCGCCTGCACGATGCTACCGTCGGCAAGGACGACTTCGTAGTTGACGACCTGGTCTGTTGGCTCAGGTCAACACTCATTCCGATTCCGGGCAGGGTCCATGCCACTCACCACATGCGAATCCGACTCGACAGGTGTAGAATGTTTTGCCGCCATCCGTTGTAAGACCGCCAATGCCGACCGCGTTTTCGCGGCCACCAGCAACCATCCTCCCATCTACGCGTTCGCTCTAGTCAGCAAAGATGAAGTTGAGTGGAGTTCCAATTGGTTTTACATTTCTCAACCTCATGGTACACATCTGTCCATCTTCCCCCAGGAAGCAGTGAAGCAAGTTCTGTTTCGTGGTAGTACGTTGTCCTTGCCATCAGACCAAGGTCGATAGTTATGCCGTCCTGGATGTTACTGGCACCCGGCCAGACTGTATGGCCCCCGCTTCGCACCGCAAAGTTGCACTCTGGTGTCGCAACAAGAGCCTGGACAGTCTTGGAAACCTCCTCTGCGTTCCTCGGCTGAACGATTGCCCAAGGCTTCAGTTGGGCACTCTGCGCCCAGTATTAGGCATTCCGAGTCTGGTAGGCGTCTTGGTCGGGAGTGTAAACAGCGTCGCCTAGTCCAGCTCTTTTGAGGTTGTCGAGTGCGATCTCCAAGGTAGAAGACATTTTCAATCGTGGTAGTCAGCGGAAGATTAAACCAGCTCCGAATTACGTATATTTGACAAGCCTTGTCATGCCAGACATGCAACGAGGACGGCATCTACTTAAACTCTACACCAATATCCTATTTGTCTTGCTACATAGCCTAAAGCATTAGCTAGCTTCTTTGACGATTGAACATCGCAGGGGCCTTATGCAGATGAGTGGGCACACAGTCAGCACTTCCAGCGTCTCAATGTGCCGTCGAGCTCAAAGAGGTAGTGCCAAGGTACCTCGCAGCCCACTATTGCTTTCATGGTCGATCATCGTCACACTAGCAGCCAGGCGAGCGCAGAACATTCGTGTTTTCCATGTGTCATTACAACCCGTCGGATCTTTCACCAATTGAATGCTGAAGTTCAACATCGTCGCTGCATGCTTGATCACGACCCCTGCCGACATTTTCTTCCAACGCCTCCAACTTCTCGCAGCTAGACTCAACGTAGTTGTCTGAGCCTCCGAAGTTTCGCACGGCTAACGCGACATGTTTCATTGACAAGTCGGTTGACAGACCCAGAGCTAGCTGCTCGGCAGTCCGAACGATGTTGCGAATCTCCCGTCCATTGGTTCCGACTTTTCCCAACAGCCGGTATGCCTCGGGCCACGGAGAATTTGGAGGATGTCCCTCGGGGGAGCCAATGGCGCGCTGTAGTTGACGACGCCAGATGTTCTTTCGCTGAGTTTTGTCAAGTTCAGTGTACTCGATTGTTGCATGGATTCGATCATAAAAGGCTGTGTCAATGTCTTTGGATGTGCTTGTGAGGAACAGCAATCCATCATAGGTATGAAATAAGCGAAGGAAAGCTGCGAGCCCTGTCAGTTTGCTAACTCACTGGTACTTCTGACATCGACAAACTTGTGTCAACCCACCAGTCACCGTAGCATTTTGGTCCGGCGTTGATGCTCGTCTCTTCGTCATGAACATGTCAGCTTCGTCAATCAAGATGATAGCTCCCCAGCGCCGCGCTAGGAGGAAGATATCACCGAGTTGTTTTTCTAAAGCTGAAGGATGAAAGCCCAGCCCCCCGGCCTGTACGCGGTATAACGGACGATGCGTTTCCTCGGCGACGACCTCTGCAAGATAGTCAGCGCTCTCTCCAGATTCGCACTCGCATGTGACGAGAGCGGGCGTCATCACCTGCTGTCAAAGTCTTGCCGACTCCAGGAGGGCCAGTCAGGAAGATACACAAGTTTCCTCCCTGCACTCCTCCGGTGTCTTGATTTGAAACTTCAGTTACTTCCTTTGTCTTGAAGCGGCATGTGAGATTCTGGATCAACACTTTCTTCCCAATCTCCAGCCCGAGTGAGTCGAATGGCCTTTCAGGCCAAACGATGTCTGTCAGATGTTCAACTTGAACGTTGGCCCATACCTTCTCATCCAACAAGAAGGCGACGAGTGTTGGCGGGCAGTTCAGGTACTCGATATCAGTCCACTCGTGATCCTCTCCCATCTTTTCATGTTCCAAGGACTTCTGTTCGCCCTTCGCGTCAGGCATAGCATCGTCTCTCGTTAGATCTCCACCTTGGATTGATGACGAGTCATCGCCACGCGGCAATGAATGACCTTCGTTGTTGAGAAAAGCCTCTAGGCTTTGTTGTCGATGTGAGGTAGTAAATTTGTCATTAACGCGACCGCCTCGCGTCTTCCTTCCTGCTTTTCCATCAACCAATACTCTCTGGGTTGTCTGTGACAAGGTCAGCATTCAGAAGTCAATCCGGCATCCGGGCCAAGTTGGCTTACTGTCCAAGTCCAATCAGACCTCGGATGTAAGGGAACCACTGGTCCTTCATACTGCATGAGAACATGATGGTGCTCGCATAGTCTGCGGTACGTCTTTCCCCGAGAAATGAGTCTTGTCTGAATATGGTGTTTTTCTGCTGCAGGAAGTAGCCTCATTGGCGTCACGACCAAATCTTCTGCGGTGAGGTCTATCATCTCTTCAGACGAATAATAAACCTCTGAGATGTGACTGGCAAGACCGAAGCGGTGGTCATTATGACATGCTCGGATATATCCCAAATCATGAGTGGGTTTGTTTGTATCTCCTTCATCGCCGGTAGTCCTTTCCTTAATATCAGTGACCAGAACGCATTCTTGTTCGGCGAAATCGGTCCATGATCCATGAGTGCGTTTTATATAAACCAGGTCTCGGGGCCTCAATAGCGTTCCATGAAGACTCCAAGCAACCTTTTCATCCGATAATAGCTCCTGATTCTTTGGAATACCGGCATTGCTTTCCTTGCCGTGTGTCCCGGGTCTAACTTCTGCGGCGGTTACAGAAACGGTCCCAGCCAGGTCTTTCCCGTACCGTGTATCGCCGGTTGTGTTGTCCCAATTGTCAATATCAGTGTGTGATTGACTCAACCTTCGACCCATGGTTAGGCTAAACCTTGGGCCGATGATATCGTTGAACCTTTCGAATACATCGTCCGAATCCACACTATGAAGTTAACTTGACGCCGCTCTTGTCATGCAGACAGTTGATTGATTTCTGGGCCCTCTTGACCCTACCAGTTTTGTTGGCTTCTTATTATGGTGTCCAATAGACTGGATAACGTGATACTAGGACTGTAGCTGCGGTTGCCTTAGGTGCCTAAATCTTAGGCAGAAACGAGGGGTCGGGGGGTTGGGATCGCTTCTGTCGGCCAAGGCCCAGCTGAAAGAGAGACTAGGTTGGTGACTGGCTAACTGTTGCGGCTTGCATGATGAGGAGGCTCGGATCACCCGGCGAATGATAGGTGATCGGCGCTTATGCGTGATGGAGTAAATTGTCACTCTTGTTCGGAGCTGATTGCGACATACATAAATAGCAGATGCACCACCCCGTGTCACATGTTCGCTTCCTTTGGCCCTGCTTGCTTAGTATTTTTTTCCCCTTTCTTACGCGCGGAAATCACTTCGCATTGAACGTGAGCGTACATCTATAAAGGCGAACTTCCTGCAATGGATTGTCTTGAGCCAGCATCAGCAGACGAGGCAGCTACCAGGCCAAGATCGCCTGCGGCGCACTCCAATGGATCAACAAGCCGAAAAAGACACAGCGTTACGCAAACTGGAAATGATAATACGGCGGCCGGTTCAACAGCCCAGAGCCACCTCCTACCACAACGTATGACGCTGGTTGACATACAGAAGTCATACATTCAAAAGTGCGCCATTGACTCTGGTAAATTTCATTCAAAATTCGATGATATCTGCCGATACGGCCTGTCAGCATCCCAAGAGGCAGGACTATGGGAGCTTGAAACCCAAAGACTCTCCGAAGCGCCACATTCAACCATCACCCGCAATCCCCTTGCATCTGCAGCCGCGGAAGAATGGCTGTCAAATCACCTTGGGCTTACTATTCTGTCAGAAGTGGCCAACGAGGTTACCTGAAATATCGCGGTATGCGACTTCGACAACAAGCTTGCGTCATTCATTTGTCAGCACGAAGTCTTCGACCAGAACGAGCTTTCCCTCGCAATGAGAGAAATCTTTGCGGAACGACAGACGAGAATTGGCGAAAGAAAGAAAGTCTGGAACCGCGATGAAAGGCAATGCTTCAGCAAAACAAATTCGGAAATTCTATTGCGCTTTGGTTGACTATGTTACCGCTCTAGTAGTAAAACATAGCTACTTTGAAGGAGACAGATCGTGGACCGGCTCTTGTGTCACATCTCTTGCCAGAGTTTCCGCGAAGTTGAAATTTTTATCGATCGACTCAGAAACTTTCGCCGGTCAGAGTCTCGATTACGCTCGTAATTTTCAAGGAATAGGCTCAACGCGTGCCGGAGAAATCAAAGAAAGCGATTGTGCCCGCAATCTGTCTGCCTCATCCTGGGCTCTGGAAACCCTTCTGCCCATTTTTGATGACCTCCAACTCCAAGGAATCGATGTTTTTGAACCGAATTTCGACCTTGGAATGATAGTCTATCATATCCCAAACTCTTTAAGGAGCATACCCGTAATGATGAGCCATGACCGACACACACAGGTATCCGGAACAAGCCTGAAGCCAGTGATATGGAACACGGACACACTTTTGGATACTCTATTCAAGGTTTCAGAAGCCATCAAGGCCAATGTTGCAGATAAACCCCTGACAAAGGAGCTTGGACACAAGCGTTTCTTCATCGAGCTTGATCTGCGAGAAGCCACTTCATCCAAAAGCGGCTCGTTAAAGGGATATTTACATACAATGGCCGACGTCGTATCAGTCATGGTGCCTCTCCTTCTCATACAACCTCAGCGACTGCTGCAACTCAATCGCACTTCAGCCTTCGGTACCCAAGCACGATCCTTTGCAACAAGTGGCGCCCCATTCTCCCGCTATTTCAATACGAGGACAGAAATTTCGATTTTCGTAGGATTGAGGTGCTCAGACTCTCCTTGGACGCCGATGGAGATGATACCACTCTCGGCCTTGTTCCAGCCATTAGCTGCGCAACCTACTTTTGAACTTGAAGGTGCCAAAAGTTGGGTTATAGAAGAAAGATTGATCGTTGTCCCGCGTCGTTTATATGTCGCCATTAC